CCCTGCCTTAAGGCCAAAGGCACTTTTCATACAGTGAGAGAAAGGGAAAAAAAATCATCTCACTCAATGGCCCACTTCTCCTTATTCAGCCTGAGAGCAGATGAGCCTTACCTACCAGTGTATAAGGTGGAAATAGTCCGTGCAGCAAATCCCAAGATAGCTATTTCAAGCCACACTCTTTGTTTCCTGCCATACTTCTGTTCTCTGAAAGTGTTTAAGCTTTGTAATGCATAAAATATATATTTTTGCAAGAAAAAATTTTCCCTCCATTTAAGAATTTATTAACAATTTACATAATTGCTTAAGTAATCTGCATAATTGACAGAAAGTTTAATTTGACCCTAGTTCAAATGCAACACTTATGGTTTTAAATTGAAATGGGTATAATTCATTTATGAGAGTAATTAAGCCATAGTGTCTAACAAATACAATGTATGCTGCCTGAGGCCTTCAAGGCCAGAACATGCTATTAGGATGTTTTATTTAAATATGTCAAATCTGTTCATCTCCAAAGCTGCCTGTGTTAAAATATATCAAATGTCTTACTTGACCTTTAAGTTGCCCTACTGAAAGCAGGGCATTAAAATAAAATAAAATAAAAAATCAGAGGCTTTCCTGCGCGCCTATGAAAAGGCAGGAGTGGTGGAAAGGAGACCAAGGGAGAAGTGCTCTGAATGAGATTATCATCCCTTCCAGCAGCGATGCAGCTTTAAGTGACTGGTTTTGCCTTCATTAAGTGAAATCCACTGCTGTGTGCAGTGCCAGCATACGGCTATTTACAACCACGTAAGCCATCCAAATAGAGCTTAAGCAGTGCAGAAGTCTTTAAGTTGGCCTTCTGCAAAGGACAGCCCAGCAATGCCTGGAAATCCCTTGCTTCCTCTGAGACCATTCCGGTTGTGACAGCTTGTGCTATCCCGAAAAATCCCAACAGCCAGAGCTGACCATCACTCTCCTCCCACGTTTCCCTCCTAGAGGATGGCTATTAAGGCTACAGCTGTCCTTTAAGAAGAGATTCAGCAACCGCTGCTCACTCTGAGCAATGCTTTCCTTCAGTTCTACCCTTGTCAAAGTTCTGGCTGCCACTCAAGGTCCCAGACTGACTCAGACTTCGTGTTTCCCTATCTTTGGGTGTTTGTAAATGTCTGGAGCCTCATCAGCTATACTCATTTTGCCCTGAGGGTTGAAAAATGAAAAGCTAAAGATCCTTCTGAAAATCAGGTCCTAAGTCTATCAAAGTGCAGTACATTTTTAATGTAAGCCACCCTGTTTCTGTCTGTAGGGCAGCAATCAGCACAGTTCAGATGTCCCTTGGGAAGGAAAAATGCTGAAGATTTATTCATCAGGAGGCAGAGTTTTTATATTTGCTTCGGAATTTTTTTATTTTTTATTTTTTTGCCATGTTGATATGCTGAGATCCCTTCATGAGCCTGTAATTTCTCAAGGTTTAGGTCTGGGGCAGTTGATTTCATCTGATTCTCCATGCTGGACAGTTAGGCTGACTCATCCTCTGAGTACTGGTCCAGGCTTGTTAGTGCATGACAAAACCTCAGCTCCTCAGTAATTTCAACAAGTTGACAGTCAAGTATTAAATAGCTGATAATCCTTTCTCTAATGAACACTGTCGTATACCAGAAATATTAAAGTCTACATGGCACATGCTATCACTGCTCATCTTTGAGGTCAAGAGAAAGGGAACATAAAACAGGACTTAGGGCTGTGCTTTTTTTCCCCACCGGAGATACATTCCTAGTGTACTCCAAGTTAGATCCACTCACTTTTCTAATTAGGTTGTTATGTGACAGATACAGGAGAGATGAGATGCAGGATGAATGTATGCCAAATAGTGATCTCAATTACCAGTTGTGTCTACTAAAGCTGTGTGATATTAGGGAATTTACTAAAAGCCTTCCATAAGCAAAGAGAATATACAGAACAGCAATTTTGTCCACTCTTGTGGCTATGTCACTAGTTTCATGATGGATGATGTTTCTACACCAGCTTCAGAGAGTGAGGAGCACAGAAAAAAAAACAGCTTTCATTGAAAAAAGTAGAGATGGTCAAATGAGAACAGTTCAACAAGTCAAAATGAGTCAGCTGGGCTGCAGTAACCATCTCTGGATATGCTTTTATCTGAAGGAAAATGCTAGCTTATATTGCATGCCTCAGACTGTCTTGAAAGAGGGCAGGCGAAGTGAATTATTTTACATAAGCCCTAGGCAGAAGAATGCACTTGCAGGAAATCTGCAGCACAGCCGACTCATGGTAACTTGCTACAGTTCCCTCATGGCAATTACAAAGCATAAATGTCTAGTCTGTTTGCAGACAGGACGTACAATTAAGAAACACCATCCTAATTAATCCTAAATAAGTACGGTCCATTAATAGATACATGCTTATTGATTAATTGATTTGTTTTTTGAATGTAGACTGAGAAGTCACCAGACACCAGTTATCTTCTTTCCCTGCCCCTAAAATCCAGCTTATAGTTTCACAGTGATCTTCTGGAAAATCAATGTTAGGACAAGAAAGAAGAAACGCTCCATTAGCTGACAAGTCTGAATGACCACGTTCTGCTCCAAAATGGTGGAAATTTGGCAGATTGAAAAATTGCTTATGAGGACTTCAGAGAACAGATGTGAGATGCAGGTTTTGGATGGAAAAAAAAAAAAAACACTTCTTAAAATGCTGTTTGTTACATCACTGGATTCTCTTAAACTGATATAAATGGGTTAGGAATGTCAAAGGCAGTAACATGTAAGAAAAGAATATAGTATATTGTGGTTTTAAGAAAAGGTCACATTTAAATGTCAAAACGAGGTCCTGTTTCTGCTACCACGCTCTTAACAAATGAATGGGATGTTCAAATCTGTTTAAAAAAAGAGTTGCAGGCTTTTGCTAGAGTTCAGCCCCAGCTGTGAGGGAATGCTGCAGGTGACACTTGGCTGGAGCACCTGGCAGTGGGGACAGGAGCAGTGTGGCAGGAGGCTGAAGGTCCTGGGATGCTTCCTAGTGGATTCCCATCACAATCACCAGGTTGGCCAGGTAAGGCTGCCTGAAAAGCCTGCAAGGCAAACTGACTTCGGTGTAAGAATCAGGCCATTGCATTTCTCTCTCCAAACATCTTTGATTCCAGAACATCTACCCAGAATCAAGCACCATGAGTGAATTACTGATCATCATTGCTGATCTAATAATAATCTCATAAATAATACATCACATTCAGCTTCAAGCAGCCATGCTGGCAGCATGAAGTACTACTAACCCCGAAGGCACGGATCTCTTTTGAAGGGCCTCAGTTGAGCTTGTACAGTTAAAAGTGCATGGGTTTCCCAGCATTTAATTTGCAGTTTCCAGGTAGCCACCTAGATAGCAGTTAGACTATTAGATAGCACAGAATACTTTTACATCTGTTGTAATTCTATAGCTAATAATATATTACACAGAAAATATTTTACCATATATTTTGTTATGTAGGACAAAACCTAATATTGTACGTTCTAGAAGAACAAAATCAGAAGTTATTTCCTGTTATATGAAGGTTTAATGAAGTCTTCATTTATAAGCCTATAGTTCCAGTCTGATTAAAAGGGAAGGTTTGTGATTAAAGCAGTCAATCAATTGATCGATTCTTGTTCAGCTTATTCCTCTCTCAACATTGCTGGCTGGATTCAGCACTGCATGTTTACCTTTTTAGTCTATGTGGAAAGCATATCTGTGTGTGAACCTACAGCTGGTTGCCATACATTACTACCATGCCACCCCCTATTCCCTGCTGTTACCTTCGGTATAAAGTAAGATTGGCTACACAGGCATCAGCAAGATAGACCTAGCTAATTAAAGTCTTGCTCCTTGTGGTGCTTTGCTTACCCCCTGGGCAAGGCTGCCACATGAATGTCCGTGAGATGCTCACCAGCAGCAATGGAGGAGTGTCTTGGTAGAGTCTGAATTTCTTTCCACATCCTTTCACTTCAAACAATGTGGAGATTAACCTGAGATACTTCTCCAGACCAGGCTGCCATGTTCCTAAAATACCTTTATTGTGTAACTCCACCTTGTTTAAAACTGAATTAAGCGGTTCACACCACTTTGTTTGGCACCAGTGTGAAGGAAGTCATCATTAACCAAAAGCCAAGCGTGTTTAACATCTGAGAGATAGACTGTTTTACCTCCCTTTTCACAGCCCATTGCCCCAGAAGAAATTGTACTGAAGTCTTTAAAGCTTCAAGAAGCAGATGCCACATAATGAGAAAGGCAGTGAAGAAACTGAGCAGGAAGAGGGTTGCCCTAGGAAAACTGAACTGTTTGACAAAATAAAACATTAGGACCAAATCCCACAGTCTGAAGTTTTGCCTACTTGCTTAATTTTTTGTCCTTAATAGCATTGTTCTTTTTTCTTCATCATACACTGGATTCTTTGCTTGTGCTGTGACAAATTATTGTGTATGCAATAATTACAAATGTAAGGGCAGCTGACATCATTTTGACTTCCAAATACCTGATGGAGCACTTGGACACACTAGTGACCTTAAATACACTCCCTGAGAGTACAGTCTGGCCTCTAGCTTTTAAGTGCAGGTGATTCTATATCATTTCATTTTGGTTCTAGCTGGGCTTGGAATTTGCATCCCTGTGCCATCAGAATGGCCTGGAGTTTCTTAATTACCAAACAAATGGAGAGTAGCTGCTTGATTTTGACAGCTCCTTTGTGTATCATTCTTCACAGAACATGAATGATTAATGGAATTTTCCCAACACAGTCAAAGTTGTTTACTGATGGAATTAAAGCTGAAATTGGCAGTGCTCTTTAGGGAGGACTTTTTCTATAATGTCACCGGACCTGCCAAGAGCCCCTAAAAAATAGGGACAATTAGTGATGGGTCAGAAGGATTCTGGGTATTAAAAGGTTTGGTTTTCTCTAAGGAAAGTGAAAAGGAGGGGTGGGCAGTGAGGTGAAAAAAAAAAAAAAAAGAATAAAATCCTTAAAGCCTTTCTTTGATTTTCTTCATAGCATAGTATTCTTGGACCCATGATCTTCTATTAAAAGGGACAGTCTCTGAAGATAAGAAGTACACAGAAGAAGCCAGATAAAGGACACCAACTGTTCTGTTGCCATTTTGAGCATTAGAAATGGCTGGAGAAGCAACTATCTGGTGAAGAAGGCAATTGGTACTGGTAGACAGAATGGAAGATGGTTGATGCTTCTGCCACCCTGCCATCTGCATGGCCTGAGGAGCTGATGTCACTGTAACTGTACCAGTCTGGGGACTCTGGGGATGTGCAGAGGAAGCAGATGGAGAAGAAACTTGTGGTCACAGCATGTAATGACAGCATGAGAGGAAACCAATTCCAATGAGTAAGGCAAAGCTCTGAAGAAAATCATCTAGAATTATTCTGAACACATTCATAAGTATTCCTTTTTTTTTTCCCCCGTATTTTCATCATTTGCCCTTACATTGCCAGATTCCACAGGCAGAAAAATTTGTGGGATTAATATCCTCCCATCAGCAGTGGTTCATCTGGGACACACTTACGAAGTTCATAAGAAAGGCAAGCCCTACGCAGCATGCTCAATGTTTAAAGTGTTTTATGAATAACTTCACACCAACCCCTGGAGATAGTTAGATAAGCACGTGATTTATTTTTATTTCCATTTTCCAGATGGAGAAAAAATGGTGGAATGACCTTCTAAAGGCCGCAGAAGGAGTTGAAACTGAGATGAGATCAAGGAGCTCCTGACTACCCTGCCCCCAGGGAAAACATCAGATTGTTCTGCATCTCTCTTCTGCAACTATTGTACTGACAAAGGCCTTTTGCCACACTCATGTAAGCGTGTCTACAAGATGGATTTTTATGACTGCAGTGAAATTTGGGAGATGGCCGGGACACTCTGGTTTCCAGCAATCCCATATCACACTTCCCTCATGTGCTTCTCTCTCTCCTGCCTCTATGCCTTTTTCAATAAACAGGCAAAATTACCCATGAGCAAGGCTGTAAGGGACAGTACAGAGCCAGTGAAATCATATGCCTCCTGTGCTTGCATAGTTAGCAGCAAGTGTATATAACACGGCCCTGCCCTTCCTCTTCTAATGAAAGTGGCTTGCCACCAGGTAGGTGATCCGCTGCCAAAGGAGATTAATCTCCGCTTTTAGAACATGTTTTGGGGTTGGAAGGGATATCAGCAGCTTTGATATGTTTTTAACATCATCTAAAGCGTAGCCAAGGGATATAATCGTACCCTTGAGAGAGCGAAGGTACAATACGTAGCTAAGTGCCTCTAATCCACAGTAGCATGATTATCTATTGATAACTGCCTCCTCCCCTTCAGGTGTCCTACTGATCTTGAGTTTGGTTAATAAAAACAAATGAATTCAGCATGCCACAGCAGAGAGTAACGAACATGTTACTGGGGTACTGGGGCAGGGAAAGGTTAACTGTTCTGTTTTGTTTAGTTTACTTTTAATGCAAAACCCAACTGGCGCAGTGATCTCCAGATATGCACAAATACCAATGCCAGATATTCACTCACACAGACAAAAGTAATACAAGTACAAAAGGGAAGGCTGGGGTGGAGGAAGGGGAAATGGCTGGGGCCAAGAACTGGAAGCCAATTCTTGCCGTGATGTTCTCTTACTGCCTTTGTGATCCTGAGCAAGCCTTAGATTAAATTTAATAGTGAGGACTGGGTCCAATGTCTGATACTAATTAGAAAGCAAAAGGCCCTTTCACCTTCCGCTACTAAATTTGCCTGAAGTTATTTATCTGTAGTTAATTCTGTACTATTGTATCCTAAAGTCAGACTTCAGGACCGATGAAGCCCTGTAGTTGCAACTGACATCTGCAGGATATTTAGTTTGATAATATTGCTCATGATAACTTCACGGATCAATTTTCATTTTTTTGTGATTAAGGAAAAGCTTGTTCTACACCACCAAAGCACAGTTATGAGAAGGTGTACAATTTTGTATGCTTTTTTAAGAAATGCAAAATCTTCCAAGCAAGGCTCAAGAAAGAGAATCACACCATGAGTCAGTGTTGGAAATGCAGACTGAAAAATCAAGTGCAGACTTTGCATTATCACAGATAATAGATGGTGAATAGTGCACTCAAGTTTAGTGACATGCACTTCAGCTGTGCAGAGTTACTCTTGTTAGACTATTGTAACACGAAAAGGAAGGTTCACATGGTACAGCAAGATGGTAGAAACAGATGCATGCACCACCCAGCCATTCATTTGGCTTTTGTTCTTTCCTCACTGGGAATTAAGCTGAGGAGTACAAATGCTCTTCCAAGATTTGAAAAGCATCTGCAAAAGTTAGAAAGACGTAGGGAAAAAAAAAAAAAAAAAGACAAACAAAAACACAAAGCAGCTTATTTGTTCATCCATCATATTTTCCAGGCAACTGTTCTCTTGAGGAACATGCAAACGAATAGCCAAGAGTGAGTGGCAGAAAAGATACGCGTATATGAAGCAAGGCATGTCTTGGAGTTACTTTCATGTTCTTTCCTGATGCTGGCAAGGGTGGGGCAGAAGTCTGGGAAGAGATCAATTGGCCTGGGAAGGCATGGGCCCTACCTAAGGAAACAAAAATTCCCGGAGGTATGCCTTGTTCAGCCATTGCAAGTGCCCTCAGAGGTCAAGAACCACTACCATGTTCATTTGATGGCTCTTAAACTACATTAAACTGTCCAAAGGCACCCAACCAAATGTCACAATAAAACAAAAATCAATTGATTTCATGCCCAGGCGATACTTATCACGGGCTGTACTTATTTTGGATAAAGACATACAAGGAAGTTTTTTTAAAAGAATGCCCCGAAGGTAACAAGCAATTAGCGAGATATTTTAAAAAAGCAACCACAACACTCTGGCTTACGGCAGCCATTGCAAAAAAATCCCAATAATCTGATCTCTAACAAAGGAGGGCCTGTCAGGTCAGCAACCCAGAACTGAGGTAAGGGTTTCATATAACAATACTGCTTGACGTGGTATTCATTTTCAACCCACAGTGGTAAAAGTTCAACCTAACAGCAGCTGTCAAATACCTTTGGCTAATCCCCTGTAGCTGCTGTGATACAATTTTGGTGGTGTAAGACAAGGCATCACCTGACCCCAACAAGGCCACAGCACTGTTAACACTTTGCCTTTGGGAGGCACAGGAGTGGGTCAGAGTGGCTACAAATTTCCCTTTAGATATTTAGGAGAAAGACCTCCTCACGCTACAGACCACAGCTCTGCTGAGCTCCGTGCCACAGTAGTGCAGAAATGTGTTTCTTTCCAAATCATTAAAGCCCGGCACTTCAGAGCCGGGCTCGAGGGAAAATGTCCCTGGCTCTCTGTGCCTTCCCTCCTGTATTTCGAAATATAGATGCTAAGCTTCAGTGCACCTTCCTGCTGGATTTTCAAACAACTTGGTGTTTTACAGGCTTCAGGATATTATAAATATTGGCGCTTTTTTTTTTTTTTTTTTTTTTCCTTTTTTTTTCCTCTGAGCTGTTCAGGGCTGTGCAATGTACTGTGAGTAGCAGGATGGAAAGAGCCAGGTTAATCAATCTCATATCCCAGCAAACCCCAAACACAGACCTCTCCACAGGAATAGAACATTGCCTAAGGGTTAGAGAAGGCTACTGGGACATCCCTCCCCATCAGCCTCAGACCTCTACTTTGTTCTTACCTAAATACTACATGTGCTAATGCTTTCCCTGTGAAGCAGGCTACATGGTGCTCAATAAAAGTTAATCTTTTGAAGGCCATTTGCATGCAGACAGAGGGTGACCCGACATATTGTCCAAGCAGACTTGAAGCCAACAGTCAACATCATCCTGATAAGAAGCAACTTGCAAGAAAAAGAAAGTAAAAAGCCTGAGACCAGTGCTGTAGATGGCCAGCATAAGGTGTCTTGTCATCATGCGCGTAGGCAGGTAAACCTCATAAAGAACCAGTACATGAGCAGACACTGTGATTCCATCCTGATATTTTTTACCATAAATTCTATTGAGCTCCATTTTATTCATCACCTGCACCTGCAAAGGCTTTTCAGTGTCATCTCAGATTAATTCCCCTTGAGTTTTCCTTGATGAGAAATTCCACATATCCTAAATTCAGGGTGTGAAATGAATGGAAAGCAGGGATGAGAAATGCCCTCTCTCATCGCAGCGCTGTCAATGTCCTGAGCCTATGCTACCTTTCAGGGGGGAATTCAGACAAAGCTGATGGATGTGGCCAGCAGTCTCTGCATGTCTAGACAATCTGCATAGTTTTCCTCATCCAGACAGGCAACTCCGAGACACTCAAGGCAAAACACTTTGGGTGAGCTTTGAGTTCTTTCAGTAGCTCTTCAAGTCTCACTTTAACCTCAGCCGCCTTCTCTTTGTATTTATTGGGCTTGAACCCTTAGTTAATGGAAACTTCTGAGATTGCATTTGGCATTGAGGACAACCCATACGGGCAAAGCACCAGAGAATGAAGTGTTTCCTAACTCCATTTCAGGGCAATTTATCTGGGAAACACTGGCAGCACTTTTTCAACTGTGATTGGTCTTATTTTACACCCCAGAACAACCAATGTTCTTCCTCTTAGTTTTGTTCGTTATTTAACTGGCCATTTAGCCTACAGACTTCTCCATTTATTTGCTGTTCTTACTTTGAATTAATAATGATAATAATAATAGCTTTAATAAAAATAAGAAAAAAATCAACTCCTTTTTTCTAAGGTACACAGCATTGTTCCACTTGATTGGCTATAACAAACTCAACTCCTTTGAAAGTAATGGAATTACATTGCTAGCACAGTTCACTGGTCTGCCTCATTTTGGATAATTCATCTCTCTTAATGTCTCAGCCACACTGAAGCACAGCATCACTTGCTAAGCTGTGGGAGCTCAGCACTGCAACCCAGCAGTTCCAAATCTCAGCCATGCCCTGAAAGCACCAAATGCTCAAATTGGTATAATAAGAGCAAGGACTCATTCTGACCGTGTGATCCAAGTATTTAATTGAGAATAAAGGGGAATGCAGTGGTTTATTCAGCCAAAAGTCACCTAAGGTTTAGAAAAGCACCTGTTTAAAAACCCAACTGAAAATTCACCAACTCCACCTTCCTGTATCAGAGTTCAGGTATTTATATCAGAGTTCACAACCAGATACCACTAAATGGGGCTAACTACTATACTTGCATGAAACAGCCCGACATCTCTATCTGCTGATAAAAAGCATGAGTTCAGAGAATTTCAATTTTTAACAGGGATACTGCTCTAACACAGAGCACTGAGAAATTCATCAGGCTGCCAGCTAGCTGGGGATGTCCTCTGCCACGTCTAACACAGTGTGTGTCCATTAGGAAAGAAGTCATATTTAGCACACCACAATTTACCTGCATGATTAACCATTGACGGTGTTTTGGATGTCTAATGAGATTATATTGGGTTTATGTACAATTTCTTAAGTAGGTTGACTGATAGATTGATCAAGGGTAGATGGAATCTGACAGCAGAATATTATAGCAGAATTCTTCGGTGATGGATGAGCCCACCTTGACACAAACTCCAAAGCTTCGCCTCTTAGTAATAAATCTCAGCGTGAAGTCATCTGTCTCTGACCTGAAGCTTGAAATCAACAACTCAGGATACTGAAGTTTCATCCTCTTTATGAACATTTAAGTTGCCTCAATGGCATAAATACGCACCTCCCACATTCAATCTCTTTTAATAGTGGCAGGCCTTATGTTGATTTTATTTTTTTGTTTTACAAAAGGTGGGGAATCACAACTGATTCTTTCTCCAGCCAAGGAGACCACTGCTAATAGATGACATTCCATATGATGCTTAATGAGCCATGATTGGGATAGGTGATGGGAAATGGCACTTTGGATTGATTTAGAAAGGATTCAGTAGAGGCAGTGCACAACTCCACAAACAGCAGCAGGTCTTACATGGTGCCATAGAATTGTATAACAGGAACCTCAAATAAAGCCTTCAAAACGCCTTGCTGACTTGGAAGTTTAACTCCCATTTTCAAAGCCAGATTCTGCAAAATACAGCTAGTGTAACAGAAATGCTGAGTCGTGTCCTGATTGAGCAGTGATTGAGCACCTGGTGGGAAGGCAGGGCCAACCCAGTGGAGCTCAGGTGCATGCAATACAATGCAGTGCAATGCAATGCAGCTGAGCAACCGGAAGGGATGGAGCCAGGATCCACACCTTCCCAGACCTCATATAAGGGTTGGCAGTGGAGGTAGGGATGTCCTTCTGGAGTTTCCTGTTTACCTGAGGTCTTTTGAAGGTGAGTAGTTTTTTCTTTTTCTTTCTTTTGTTTTTGTATGCACAGCTGCTGTATTTGGGCTAATCCTCATTTGCTGCAGTCAAAGACTTTACTAC